TGGTGTGTAACTGGAGAAAGGAGGGGACAAAGGGAAGGAGGTAAGGAGTGGAGTTGCCTGAGGTGGGGAATCAAAAGCACAGTTCCTTCTAAGTCTAAAAGGAGACAGTTTCTGGTAGGAGGGAATAGTTGAGTATTTCAAATGCTGCAGAGACAAGAAGGATGAGCTCATTAAATCTGTTTAATATCAAGAGGATAAATACTACAGGACAGGGGGCCAAATGCCTAAGTATTTAGGGGAAAACAAATGTTGCAGAGGGGAACTCACTAAGCTTGGATATGTTAGGAACATCTGGGATAAAAGAGGATAGCAGTTAGATGGAAAGGGAAAGATTTTTGAGGAGTGATTTCTATTTTGAAGGCAGGAGAAAGGGCCTCTTATGGTGATTTTTATTTTGAAATGATATACAGAAAAACACCTAAAAATAGTTTATTTCTATCTTCACCTGAAAAATGATGTGGTGGTCATTTTGCTTTCAGACTATCAAAAGCTAGCAAAAGAATGCCTTTGGTATAGCTCATTGCAGCTAATGATTGACTATTTCAGTAGTGTGCCAATTTGCTTATTGAGCAGGAACATTTCCAAAAGCTTTTAATTTCTTGAAGAAAAAAACCCTAAATCACAATAGTACTCAGCAATCGTTTCCTTTTACTTTATGTTCATTTAAGAATGCCCAAAGTGGGGGCTGGGGTTGTAGCTCAGTGGTAAAGTGCTTCTTAGCACATGTGAAGACCTAGGTTCAATCCTCAGCACCACATAAATATAAAGTTAAAAAAAATGCCCAACATGGTATTATTGCAATTTATCACCAAAATGTACTTTGTGTCTACTTTCTAAAAAAAAGTGTCTAAGTGTCTACTTTCAAAATTATTTTTCAGTTCTGGATTCCAATGCTAATTTAAAGTACGCATTGCACTATACCCATGAAAGTGTGACTTTTAACTGTGTGTAAATCATACCCCAAAGAAATTGAACAATAGAAAAGAGGGGCTTTTTTGGTTTGAACTACTACAGGTCAACCATTTAAAACCCAGATCTGTTATGTAAGGTATTATTATTAACTCAGGTATTATTATTAACTCCACTTCACTGATGAGGAAAATCTGAGTCATTTAAGATTACACAGCTGAAAACAGGAGTCCGAACTCAGCCCAAGTCTGTTGAACAGTTGGTGGCTGTACTTCTATCTTCAAAGACTGCACTGGGTGAAGTGCATCTTACTGGCACATTACTGGGTGCTGCTTCTAATGTGTTTTCCCTTCTTAGGGACCAGCATGAGCGACCTTCAGCTCTCCAGCTCCTGAAGCACTCCTTCTTGAAGAGAAATCACTGAGAACACAAGATTTTCTCCCCAGGCCAATGTAGATGCGGTTATTGCTTAATTGTGGGGAATGATGGTTAAGGACCTTTGTTTTCTTCTTGGAAATTGTCTACCCCAACTTAACCAGATCCTACAGTGTTACCAACAGCAAATTCTAGGTACCTATTAGCAGTTTCAGGCATGCTTATTCATGTGTATAAGAAAGGTTTCCTAAATAACAATCTATTCCAGTGTTTATGGTTTTGATTGTCCAGGAATCTATTGTTTTATGTATTTCCTTTGATTTTTGGCCTCTCAATTTTAATTTCATAAGTATACAATAAATTTAAAAACATTTATCTTGTCTTGGTGAGTAGAGACTATTAATTCTTGTAAAGGAGTCTACAAGTGGGGAAACTAAGTCAAAAGAGATGCTCAGACTGTTTACTTTGGCAGCAATGCTAACCTTAGATTCTAGGAGCCTTGAGGTCTACCAGGAGGTAAGTGCCTTGATGTTCCATCATGAGAGGGTCCTGAACTCCAAGTTGTTGAATTATTTATTTAAGGTAGAGTCATAAGACTTTGGCTGCTTTCTCTGTAATTAATGCATAATATGATTTGACAGTTCTGCCTACCACACCTAGAACTGGCTAAGCCTAAATCAGCTGGCAGAACAAAAGCTAGATCTGGTAAGAGAATGAATCTACAGCATAAATTTTTCAGAGAACTTTGGTCACTTCACTTGAGTTATGCTGAGGTTCCTTTTCTTTTGGTACCAGGATTGAACGCAGGGGCACTCTACCACTCTACCACATCCCCAGCCCAATTTTGTATTTTAAGGACAGGGTCTGGGTTGCTTAGAGCCATGCTCTTGCTGAGGCTGGCTTTGAACTCACCTTACTCCTGCCTCAGCCTCCCAAACTGCTGGGATTATAGGTGTACCTGGCTACTTTTCAAACATTTCTATTTCTGGGAAGAACTGTTAGAATATTTCAAGTCCCTTTAAGTTGGCGGACAATTTTTGACATTTTTTTTTTTAATTACTGTGGGTTCATCCACTAAATTTCATTGACACTTGTTTTAGGCTATATCCACAGAATCTTTCAGGATGGCACAACTATAAATTAATTGCAGGTGTCTTCTAACAATAGTATCAGGGTTTGCTAAAACCAAGCTGCTCCTTTAGTTTTTGAGAAATATATGTAAAATGTAGCCCACGTGAGGAAAAAGCAGATTTTGCTTTGACCAACATATAACATTGAATGAAGTCTTTGAGTTTACTTCCCTTCTCTCAAGCTTGGACAGTTTTTTTTCATATTTGAAAACCTTATTTTTTAAACTAGTTCCTTATTTTACTTACTTGCATATCAACATGACCAGAAATAACGTGATTCTGTAAAGGTAGGGCTTAATTCTTTTCTCATTTTGGAGATTTTCAGTCTTCTTTAAAATCTTTTAGGTCTGGTGATATAGCTCAGTGGTAGTGCCAAGCCTACACAAGGCCTGGAATTGATTCCCAGGATGGATGTAGAGGGGATTTGATTATCATACTGAATATTCAACCCTATTACACCCGTGAGGAAAGGGTAGAGAATGTTTGTGTACATAGACCATGGTAATGAACATATTAAGTTGGTTAAAATAACCTACTCCTTTTCTGTTGATAAAGAAAACTAAACACAATTTTGAAATTAAAAAAAAAAAAACCTTCAAAATAGGGTTCAGAGGTAGTTTTCTCAAGATTACCAAACTGGTAGATGGTAGTTGGGATTGCTACCCAGATATATTCAACCTGAAAGCTCTTTTCCTTGCAGTCTTCCAGACTCAATAGTTTTAAAATACCAGTTACATTTTTAAGTTTTGTTCAAAATACCAGAAGTCTAGAATGTATTCTGAATACTTTAATGGTGTGCAAAGCTTTCCATTCTACACATAGCAGTTATATTGCCTTCCAATCCATGAGCATCACTCTTTCCACCAAGAACAACTATCCAAGTTTCCATACCATCACACTTTAAAATTTCATTTTGTTTTGATCTTCTTTTATGTTCTAGGTCCAAATTCAAAGAAATTTTAACTCCCAAGTAAATCTCTAAAATAAGCAGTCCTCTGATCTCAACTTTAACCTACATTAGGCCTGATATTGTGAACCTTTCTCAGTTGTTGAATGAGGTGGTGACAAGGAGAGCGAACTCTCTAGCATATGGGATAACATATAATATCTGCTCTCTACTGGAAGACCACAATAGCAATTCTGAGCCTTCTGTAAAAAAAGCAGCTGCAAGATAAAAACCCACTTAATCTGCTCAATGAGCAACTTAAATACTCCAACACTTGTAAAATTCCCTTTTTTTCTTTTGCTCTATTTTAAAAGAAATATTCAATTTAGACAGCTACTTGGGATGCAGAATTCAAAGTTTGAGGCCAGCCTGGGCAACTTAGCAAGAACCTGTGCCAAAATTAAAAAGGGGCTGGGAGCACAGCTCAGCACTAACACCTGCGATTGATTCCCAGTTCAAGTGGTGGTGATAGTTATACAGTTTAAAGCATTTATTTAAAAGCAGAGAACTTGTCTTTAAAAAAGCTTTCCAGGTGATTCTGTAAACTTTAAAATCCTGGATGTGGGTAACTATCTTTACTGATGTGAGTACAGAGGAATTTGGAGGGCAGATTTAAAAACTGACTTTACATGGAACCAAATGAAGACACAAAATCAAATATATCACCTAATATCACTGTATTAAGCAGTGGGGCTGAGACTGGAATGCAGACCATCCAATCCAAGGCAGCATTCCTTCATGATATATGTATAGTTACTTGGATAGTCAATTGTAGTCAGGCTTGGTGGGCACATGCCTGTAATCCCAATGACTTGGGAAGTGGAGGTAGCTGGATTGCAAATTCAAGGTCAGCCTCAGCATGTTAACAAGGCTCCACCTCAAACTAAAAAATAAAAAAAATGAGGACCGGGGACATATATAGCTCAGTCCCTGGTTTCAATTCCAGTACCTCCCCAAACAATCATATATTAGAGACTACATTTCCCAGGGACTAAAAATTATTTAATTCACATTGATTTAACAAGACATGTTACAGCCTTGGATTTATGTTGTCAGTAAGCAAATTTTATTAATTCCTTATATAGATACTGAAAAGCTGAAATTCAGTGACTAATTCATGACAGTATATACATACTCCTGTTTTGGATTTTTCTATCAGCAAACATCCCAATTGTCCTTGGGAGAGGGTGGGGGTTAACTACATTCAGAAAATGAAATCCCAATAGCTGTTTACAATGAATGAGTATCCGTTTTGTTTTTCTCTAACTAAGTGAAACTGCTTGAAAAACACACCTTAAAAACAGGAATGTATTCATTACTAAACAAAAGGCAAATCAAAGTACTAAGTGGAAGTGTCAATAAGCAGAATTTAAGTGAGGCTTCCTCATATAATTTGGAAATAGAAATTAAACAGCTTTCAGAATTTACTTTTTGAGATTAATGAATAACAGTGAATGAGAACAGAACTGTTCTTAGCTATGCAACCTTTAATACATCTTATCAACCTACCTAAAAAATTCAAGCAGAAATGTGGATAAATTACAGAAAAGAAAAAGAGAAGTCAAGAAGCAAAAGCCGGTGGAGTCCAAATCAACACTGGATTAAAAAAAAAAAAATGAAAACATAGTATCAGAGCTAAATAGTGAGCACTGGCAACTTTACTTCAATTGTAAAGATACATGTTTCAGGCAAACTTCTTATAAAACAAGCAAACTTCTGGCTTGGCTTACATCTGTGAACTTATAACAATCAAATTGTCCTTCAACTTTAGATATAAATGTATCCGCAAATTCTCAAATTAACATACTAGTATCGTAACAGTAGCCTAGGAGGACAGGGGCATAATGTGCTTTTCCAGTGTTTAAAAACCAGCCTCTCTTAAATATATGGGCACATAAAACTTAAGCTGTAACTTCAAGTTGCCCCAGAGGGTTGCTGATCCTTCATCTGTGTAAATTTGGTTAGTGAATTCCTACTGTCTCCCAAGGAAGTCGGCCGAGGGAGAAACTGCTAAATCAAGAGAAATACTAAGTCAAGGATCCTTTATAACAAGAATTTTCAAAAATTGCTTAGCAAAAAAAAAAACCCTAAAAATCACATAGCAAGTTAAGCACAATAGGTGAGAAATATTGCTTTTCATTAAGATAAAACTGGGAACAGTAAAATCTAATGAACATAACTGTCTTCCTTTACAAGTTACCATGTTTGAAAAAATAAAAAGTATTTCCAAAAATGAAAACCACTAAAATCTCTAAGAATATGTATTGTATAATAATATTCACAACTTATAAGCAATGGTTTATTTCTAAAGTTGGTTAAGGAATAAATACCAGCAATTTAAATTCTCAAATATAAATGAAAATGTGCTTGAAACCTTTTAAGGCAAGGTATTTGTTAACTAACAAAAACATCTCACTCTGGTTATCTAAAGTGGACCTCAATAAGTAACTTCTTTAATTCAAAGAAGATAGACAGGTCCCAAAGATAAGGAATCCTATATTATTAAAATCTGTTGGTACAAAGTAACATAAGCATCCCCTAATGACATCCAAAAAAACATACATCCTGTAGAAATTTTCTTTCAACAACTGTGAATAACCTGAACTAATTCACACATGTTGCAAATGCTTTCAAAAAGAAAACCTAGGACAAATGCCATTACTTTTCAGGATTTAAATACAGGCAACTCAGAGACTCTGCAAGGTCTCAATCACTAATGAGTATTACCAGTGATTTTATAATGTAGGCCTCTGAGATGTTATTGACCTACCTAAAGAGTATGTCAGACACTCCTGAATATGAACAAATATTCCTTTGCTTTGGTTCTGAAAACACCATAGAGTAGCTAAGGCAAATATTCATGGGGGCACAGAACAATATTGGAAAACTGGGTCAGAGGTAGAAGTAAAGCTTTTGTTTGTAATGTGCTTTTGTATAAAGGTAACAAATCTGTGATCTGGGGAAAACACAACTTAAAAATGAATCACTCTTATATAAGATGTTTGAAGATAATGCTTTTTAATATTTCAAATATTTTTAAAAATTTCATAAAAAACGTATCACCTTAACAGTACTTTGCACATGTGGAATTCATACCTAAATCTGATACTATTTTGGTTTATTTATGGCTACTTACAAGAAGACTCATGGTATTAATGTCCATTTGTCTGAGTCTTTTTCTTTGGTAGAGCCTAATGGGACCAGGCAGATGAACTATTTTATGCAAACAATTTGGTTAAAGCAAATTCACAATAATATGAATTATAAGATTTTTGTTTAATGGAAATAAACTTAAAAAGATTTCCACATTTATCCCCATTGTGGTTCTGGAAGCTTAATATCCTGTTCAGAGGTTAAAGAGTTTCAATAGCTCACACGATCCTGTAAAAATCACAACCGGCTGCCCTTTAATAAATAAAGTCATTGTAAAGAATTACATTTACAGAGTGAAAAGTAAATACATAGCATTTCAAATTCAATTTTGGAAGTACTAATAAGTACTGACCCATAACAATATACACTAGCTATCTTTTTAACTGTCCATCATTAGCACCAATAAAGATTCAACAAAATTACCTTTATTCCCACATCTCAAAACAATTCTGCAAATTCTTAGTGAAGTTTAACTACAGTCACAGACCTTAAATATTCACATTGTTTCCTATGCTATACTGAAAATAAATTCACTACTCTTCTGGATATTCTTTACAAAATCTTATTAAAATTCCTGGTTTTATCCCCAATTATACAGTAGCACAACCACCCTATGTCATTTCACATGATAGCTCTGTAGAGGTTTCACATCTAAAATTACCAAGAACAAAAACCCTTCCCTCCCTCATCTTGCACTCAGCTTAATTCTATACTAGTCCTTGGATTATGTACCACTGTAAAAGTATAACTGTATCAAAATTACCATGTTTATGGATACAATATTATGCCATACAGAGCAACAAAGTTACATATAATGACAAAGATTACTAAAGTTATGCAAGACAATAACAAATGTGGACATGCTAGCTAGGCAAAGTCCCTACAAAGAGGCTGCTAGTTTCCCAAGTTCAAATAACATTGACAAAAATAATTAACAATTATCTTAAAAAAATTATAAGCTACTGGCAAATAAGGTAACTGCTAAATAAAAGTAGAGCACAAGATTAAACTCTTAATATTTACAACCACAAGATTTTTGAGTAAAATTACAATTGTGCACATATCAGTGGCTTTGTAACAAAAATAATTCATATACACAGAGGAAAAATTAAGACAGTTTTCCGTTCAACAGAAGTTGAATCCAACCCATCTCAAAGATACTAAACAGCTCGAAGGTATACCACAGAATAAATTCAAGATTAGCCAATAAACAAGAGCCATACTACTGGTGTTTTAAGACAAAATTTAACCATGTTAAAGTCTATTATTCAATCAGGAGTCAGATGACTGTGCAAACTTTACCTCAACAGGAATATACTGAGATGTGCAAACAAATATAAAACCTCCACTAGAGTGGTTTGACTGGAGACTGAAGTTTTTTTTCTTTTTCTTACAGAACTTTCTGATAACAATCATAAGCTATAAGTACAGGTACAATGCACAGTCAGTGATCTTTTTATTGTTAGAATATAAAATAATTAAGAGAGCATAGGTTTCATTTCATTTTTATAAGGAAGACTGCATTTACCTGAAAAAAATATGGCATCACACACAGACACACTTCAGGGGAGGAGTATATTTAAGAATATGGTGTCATTCTGAATGCTAAAGGAAAAGTGATCCTTGTTTACTGTTAAAATATGTAGTGTTAAAAGTTCTTTAAGGAAAAACTTCTTCACTAGGTAAGTTTTTGTGAATTTAGTTTTCAAATCACAGTAATCCACATATCCATTATTAATAGCTGTTTTGTAGTACTGCAACAAGCCAACAAACACTTAAATGCACTTCACATCAAGAGTATGTAAACTTTATTTTTTCCTCTTCAAGCCTTCAGAAAATTAGGGGTTATTTCAGCAGCCAATCTGGTCAGAACCTCTGAAGGCAAAAATTGAGTGCCTCACAGTGTAGACCATCTGTGGCACTGCATACCCATCCGGTAGTGAAGTGTCCCCCTCTAATGGCTTCCAGTAAGGCCTAGAGTTTAAGGTTAACATGAAAAAGTGCCACCTTTGTTTTAGGTTAGTGATGGACTCTGACAAGAGAAAATAAAGTTATTCTGTATATTGTTATACTTACAAGCAGCTCCAATCCTGAGTATTTATGGTAATATCTAAACATACAAAAATGTATGTACATTTTTCTCCACTTTCTTGTAAACAGTTGTCAGCATACTGTTTTATCCCTTTATCATTGAAACATGCAAATCATACATACAGTATAAATACACAAAAGAAAACAATTTACACTCATTCAAAAGCCAAGCAACAAAAAAATAGCTACAGTATTCAAATTATAAATAATGGATGCTTGAGGCATCTTATATTCCTAGAAGCAGCCAGCCATTCATCCTAATGTTCTTAGCTGCAATTGTAGAAATACTGAGTTTTGCACCTTCCATGCTTTTACAGTATTTATAAACACTATCATATGTGGAGATAAAGACTTGTTTACTATAATCTCTTCTTTTCAGAATGAAGAATAAAGCAGCACTTACAAATATTGAAGCAGTGGCAGCAACAGCAGGTGTTACCACTGCTAGATCAGGAGGAAGTTTTCCACTTTAACTATTTTTAAATTAAAAAAGTAAAGGAAAAATTGACCTAAACAAATGATTACATGTTCATTCCTTGGGCACTTAACAGCGAGTCCAGCATGTCGAATGTGTCTTTGTAGTCCATATGCTGGCTGTTTGTACTGTACTCGTGATTGGCATCAGGACCGTTGGTCTCCACTGGCTTCTTGTCCAGTTTCACGAGGGTGCTGAGATGTCCGTAGCCCACCTGGTATGTGACAGGGGGAGGAGGGGGTAAGGGATGGTTAAAAACAGAGTTGTGAGAGGATATATACTGCTTAACAGAGGAGGAAGAACTAGATGAACTACCTGAACTTTTGGAACTTTTGCTCATTTTGGAGTGATGGTTGTGAGAGGCATCATTGATATGCAGCTTCTTCCTTGAAGAACTGGAACTAGAGGAAATGCCATCACTGCTCAGGCCAACAGGACTCCTCAAAACAGTGGGTGGTATTCCATCAGCACTGTGTTTACTGCCACTGCTGCTGCTGCTGCTGCCACTATGTAAGTGGGAATGCTTGTGACTGCTTGCATGGTGACGGTTTGCAGGATGCTCCTTGTGCTTTTCCTTATGGTCTCTGCCAATATGTGGGCTTGAATGTTTGCTCTTCCCACTGCCTTCATCAGAAGAGCTGTGTCTTTCTGAGGATGAAACTTTTATCTTCATCTTCAGTTCTTCCTTACTAGTGCCTTTATCAGTGGGTGGTATTGGAATCCGTAATTTTAGTGATCCACTTTTTTCCTTTTTCTCTCCTATGAATTTTTCAGGTTTTTCAGTATTTGTGATGGGAATTTTCATTTTAATAGGAGAAGTTACAGAACTGCTGGCTGCCTGTGACTGCATGTGTTTGTGTTGCTGCTCTACCTGGGCAGCTATATAATGATCCCTTACATCAAGATCTAGAGTTTCTAGCTTGCGTTTTTCTCTATATTTATCTAAAGACATTTTCTGAGGAATTACTCCAGGAGTAGCAGAAATAGGCCCATGGTGTTTACTGCTCCCTGCTTTATGAACATATTCTTGCTTAACAGAAGAATGATCAGAAATTTTGTCAGTTCTATGATGTAATCCTGAATGCAGTGATATTGAAGGTCCCTGCTGGAAGTTGATGTTGTATTGGCTACCAGACAAAGATGTCTCCTGTTTCTGTGAATAAATCGGTTCTGTCCTTGTCGATTCTTGATGCTGAGGCCATTCTTGGTGTGATGACAAACCATATGAGGTACTGGGCATTCCTGATGCTAGCACTGACAGATTATCAGATGTATGGCTGTCCTGAACAGATAAATTTCCTGAATTTAGAGGTACCGGTGCAGGGAATGCTGACGTAGATGGTTTCTGAAAACTTGGGTTTGTAGGCACACCTGTGACACTATCTACTAATATTGAATTCTGGACCAAAGATGAGCCAAGAAGTGGTGTCTCTGAAACTTGTCCATCTACTTTTGGTTTCTTAGCCGCCTGATTAGCCTATTTACATAAAACAAAAGAAGCAATGACAACGAAGGAATATAAATTTCTTTGCTTATAAAAGATGACACGAGATATATGTAAATAAAATCACCTGGAGTTCAAGGTTTTCTGTTGCCAATAAATAAATGTTTTATTTGGACATATATCAAAAGGCTATCAAGTTGAAAATACTAGTTTTAGAAAAAAAATTAAATCTTAGCTCATCACGAGACAGTAATTTATCTATTTGAACAATGAATACTTTCATTGTAATCAGTGAGAATTAAAAATAAAAAGTATAATGTACTTGAAAGACCTACACCAGACAAAGTAGTTGAATCAACTATGAATCTATGTAACTTATGGTATGTCTTAATTATTTACAAATACTGGAAAGATGATTAACCATATCATTTCAAACTGGTTAGCTATGTAATAGTTAAGGGACAAACTGAAAATCTATTAAATCCTGCCAATTTTCTTACCCTCCAGTTTCGAATCCTCTTCAACCTACTAGGTGTTTTCTCCAATATTTGTAGAAACTCATGTGTTAGCTCTAAAAATAAAATTTAAATAAAAAACTTAGAAGGTGTCTTTAGGATTTAAATTACTTTCAAGTGGGCAATATTAAAAATGAGATCCTAAGAGTTAATCTCTTTCATTGTTAAACTCCTCTTCAACTTTCAACAGAAGTTGATACAATTCTGAACTGGTATTTTCAAAGCTGACTAAGCAGAGTTATTGTTGTTGTTCTTTTAAAAAGAATATCCCCCACCCTCTGTGGCCACTATTACTTGCTTTAAAATCTCTGTAAAAATTCTGTAGTATATATATATATTGTCCCTCCCCCTCCCCACAAAAAACTTCATTAGGCAAGAAATATAGTAATATTTGTTGAAGGCAAGATTCATCAATAGATCTTTCATCAATGAATTCTTTTAAATTAGTGGGCAAAAGTTTTGAAGGAAAGGATATTTATATAATCTCAATGTATGTTCTCCAAGGTGTTTATTAATTATAAAGAGAAAAACAGTAATTTGACAGTGGAGAAACTCAAGCATTACTACCTTAAGTGCTTATCCCTAGTGAGATAAAGCATACTTCTGCAGTTTTATTGCCAAAACCAAATAATTTCCATCTAATTATGAAAAAATACTGGACAAACCCCAACTAGGAAATGCTCTGTAAAACAACTAACCATTATTATTCAAAGTGTCAAAGTCATGAAAGAAAGATTAAAGAACTGTTATAGACTGGCAGACTTAAAGCAACACGTCAACTAAATGGAACATGGGATCTGGGAAAATCTGGAAATAATCTGTGGTTTAGATAAGAGTATTATACTAATGTTAATTTTCTGTTTTTGATGATATTGTTACATAAGATAACACCACCAGAGATGCTGGGTGAAGGGTGTACAGAAAATTCTATACATTCTTTCATAATTTAAGTTTTAAATCTTTTCAAAGTGTTGAAAAGGTAAAAATAAATAAGTGGATAAATTCCCCCACTTATACTTTCTAGCAACCAACACTATTTATAAATAAATAGTGTTAATAAATAGTGATAATTAGCAAATTATCCTGGCCATAATTTTATCCATTTTCTTAAATTTAGGGTGAGAGTGAGATGACCCACTTTCCAAAGTGTTGTGATTATAATAAATTATCACTTCATACACTAAAATAGCATCATTAATAGTGGCCACTCTCAAAACAAATAGATAAATTTCACTGCCAACTGAAACAAAATAGTGGGAGAGAACCTCTGTCAGGAGACTACAGATTCACTTATTTTTCAGTACAAACAGCATGTTTTTGTGTAAACTATTCTAAGCAAACATTAAGATTGTCAATGAAAACACAGCACAGAATGTCTCAAAAAAAGCAGAATATACAAAAATTCTGCATTAGCATGATGACTATCCAAAACTAGCCTACGACTAACATATGCTAATAAACACCACATGAATCAAAGTATCTAATAACTTTTCAAGATGTAACCTTCTTGACCATTTTATAACTGTTCTGTTATTTTCATGAGTTTCTGATCAAGTATGGATAAAAGCCTGGACTTTCACTTCTTTGTTCAAAGCCAACCCAACCAACCAACCACTTTTCTGCATGACACTAGAAAATTCAAAATACTTTTGGGTCCAATATTAATGAAAAATTGTTTTTTGACTTAGCTTCTTTAACAACTTTGTTGTCAAACATTAAATACACACAATATTTCCCAGTCCAACACCTGGTACCCAGCAGACAAAAAACATAAGCTTTGTTTTTTTCATGTGTATCCTACTCCATTAATTTTTGGGGGGAGGGTATTGGGGATTGAACCCTAGGGTGCTTAACCACTGAGCCATTTTTTTAAAAAATATTTATTCTTAAATTTTAGATGGATACAATATCTTTATTTTACATTTATGTGGTGCTGAAGATCGAATCCCCCAGTGCCTCGTGTATGCTAGGTGAGCACTACCACTGAGCCACAATCCCAGCCACCATTTTTTGTATTTTATTTAGAGACAGGGTCTCAATGAGTTGCTTAGGGCCTCGCTAAGTTGCTGAGGCTGGCTTTGAACTCTCGATCCTTCTGCCTCAGCCTCCTGAGCCACTGGGATTACAGGTGTATCCACTGAGCCTGGCTCTATTAAATTTTATAACAAAGGAACAAAGAATCTGTTAAATAATCTGTTAACATAAGTAACTGGATATAGTCACAAAAAACACTGTACAATGCTTAAAAATAGAGGCCTTTGTTTTTCAAAGTTAATACAAAAATATATTAAGGACCCTGGATGTTGTGGCACACACCTATAATCCCAGTGACCAAGGAGGCTGAGGTAGGAGGATCACAAGTTTAAAGTCAGCCCTCAGCAACTTAGTGAGACTGTCTCAAAATAAAAAAAAAGTCTGGGGATGTGGTTCAGAGGTTAAGTGCCCTTGGGGTTCAATCCCAGGTAACAAAAAAATGTAAGGGTTCAGAGTGTAGCTCAATAGTACTGAATGCTTTGCCTAGCATTCTAAAGGCCCTGAATTCAATCCCTTGAACTGCAAAAAACACCACCACATATAAGGGTCTATTAATCTGAAAATATATACAAACACCCCAAAAACCTTACAGTTAGGCAAAGTCTAAATCAATGTTGTTTTTGGAACACTGTCACTAAATGAATTATTTTAATAAAAAATAAGAATATTTAAGTACTTAAGACTTTGAGTGAAAAAGAAAAAAGAAAATAGCTGCTACATGATATGCTAAAAATCTTATTGTGTTAAATTTCCTAGATCCCTATTCAATCACTCTCCAAATCAATATGAATGTGAACTTTTCCAGAATTGAAGTGGAAGAACATTTAGGTGGCTCCTATTGTTAAAAAAAAAAAAAAAAAAAGTAACAACTTACCTGTGACCTACAAGCAGGATAGAAGACAGATTACTTACTTGTGAGCTTTATTTCCACAATATGTATATAAACCATTTTTATAAAAATTATGCCTATTTAATCTATTGACTGGTAAGGCAGGGATATAGATAACCTTATTTTTAAGCTACAGAACAGATGAAAACATTATTAAAAACCCTTATTGTTTTTTTTTCTTTTTTTCAATTTTTAAAAATCTGTTTTAATTAGTTATACATGACAGTAGAATGCATTTATGCACTTTGATATATCATACACAAATGAGATATAATTTCTCATTTTTCTGAATGTACATGTTACAGAATCATATTGGTCAGTCACATATATACATAGAGTAACAATGTCTGTTTCATTCTACTATCTTTCCTATCCCACATCCCCTCTTATCCCCTCCCATCACTTCCCTCTACCTAATCTAAGGTAATGTTATTCTTCTCTAGTGAATGTTACTTCAACACACTGAAGATTTTCTTTGCTCTGTATAAACTGAAAACCTCTAACAATTTAAGAAAAACAGCATAATCAGGGGTTAGTAAGCATTAAGATATATACTCTGGAAAAAAAAATTTTCAAGAAGGAAAAAAAAGGGGGGTGGGGGGAAAAAGGAACCTAACAAAGCCAAATCTTATAATAGGAATATGGCTGGTAAACCAAATATGGCCTTACTGTCTGTTTTGTAAAGTGTTTTACTGAACCACAGTCCCACATGTTCATTTATGAACTGTTTCTGAGCTACAACAGTTGAGTTGTATAGCTGTAATACAGACTTTATAGCCCATGCAATCTAAAATAACTACTCAGGTCTCTAATTTTATGTAAGAGATATCCCCAACAGTAACAAAAATGATCTTGTTTTCTCATTAGCCTATTTTGAAGAGAGCTGAGAAAAGTCCCCAAAAGAGTAAGTTAGAAATCTGACATATCATTTTTTTTATCTTTAAAGTTATTTAAAATTATCATCTATTTCTTTTCTGAAATCTCCAATATCTGGTTAAAAATGTCCTAACCCTAATTCCAGGTGTGTAATTTATAGAACTCACTTAACCAGTACTTAAGACTCTTCACTTTTTTTTCTTAAAATATTTTTTTTAGTTGTCAATAGACTTTTATTTTATTTATTTATATGCGGTGCTGAGAATCAAATCCAGTGCTCCTACGTGCTAGGCAAGCGCTCTATCACTGAGCCACAACCTCAGCCCACTACTCTTCACTTTTGACTACAAATGTCCAATGGGTAACTAAAAGGATTAAAAAGTTGGCACTTTTGCCTACATTTTGTATCTGTCACCTATATTCTGTATCACCTTAAATTTTAAGAACAACAGATCTGGATTTATAAACATCTTGTGATGACTCATAACTAAGCCCAAGGGAACAGCAATTTTCTGATCCTGCCTGAGCAATCCTAAGATAAAGATGGACCAGACAATGCCTGATCAAGACAAGCTGCTTTGGCAGCTGTGTAAATCCTGCAGCTATGAAAACTTGCAACTCCTGCTCTCAATTCCCTTTCTATAAAATCTCAGTCATTTTCAGACCCTTGTAAAGGGCTGAGACTCATGGTCTCACTTTGCCTTTTTCAAAAGGGTCATACTAAATTAAAGTTCCTTTCCTGTTTTTCACCATTACTTTTTTCCCTTTGGGTTTTCTAGTTGGTGGCTAGACCTAGTTTTTTGGACCTCAGAGGCAAGCTTCTTATAGCCTCGGACTCCGCTAACACTCATATCCCCAATTTTTCCTTGTCTATTCATGTTTAATAATTCAAGACCACAATGGCACTATAGAGCAAGGAATGTTATCCTGAAAAATCCCTCTAGCTTACCGATTAACATCTTATACAATTATCTCACACCCAGCTTTGAGTGTACACCCTTTTTTTGGGTGGTACTGGGGATTGAACTCCAGGCCACACACAAGTTAATTAAGAACAATATATAGGGATCTATAAACCCACTTTTACACCAAGTCCCAGTTTATACACTGAAACAAGATTAGTGTACCTTAGATATTATTGTCCTATCAAACCCATAGCATTTAAAATCATATTTCTTAAAAAAGTCTGAAATAGCTTTCCATGCTCATTGGTGGTTAATATACATCACATTTTCCCATTAGGCTAATGAATCCTTATTTTCATCCTGTTCACTTGATGATATAATTATATCTTTAAATTCCATTATCCAATTACTAAAATGGATTTCTAAAGTACTTAATATCTGAAATAGAAATATTAATAAATGAAATGATATTTGGGATTAGCATCAGGATAACTGTGGTATGTGTGTTGAATTGCCCGGAATCAATCAATGTTCAATAAATGTGGGTAGTGCGTAATATAGAAATTTACTATTTTAAAAATCTACACAGAAATACAATTTTTCCACAATAAAAAGGTGAAAAAAATATTTTCAATGTAAAAACTATTTTTTTCTTTACTTACCATCTAGTAATTCTAGAGTAACTGTAGGATCCACATATTCCCACCAATGCTTTCCATCTGTTGACACAGGAATCTCCCAATTGGACCATTTGCAAGCCAAATGAATGCATACACATGCTATCACTGTTGGTTTGTACTGAAGACAGAAGGTCGTAAGATGTAGACTGTTGTAGAGCAGGTTTGAAAACGCAGAACCATAGAAATTTAAATATGTAAAACAAAGAAAAACATTTACCAGTAAGATTAAAGCAAAAATAACCGTATGGAGGTTTTCTTCTGTAAATCTAGAGTATATAACCATATTTTATGAAATTAAAAGCTAATATAGCAATAAAAATTCTAATATAAAAACCTATAGATTATGAAATGCTTTCATCCTCACTCCCCATAGCATATTAATATTTTATCAATGCTAATAATTTTTTTGAAATGTTTTTGTATCTAAATTCAAAGTATTTTTAAAAAGAAGAGGAAGATGGTATATTTGCAATAATCACTAGGCACAAATAACATTTTAAACCTTTGTGGCATTTTTCGTTCTTTTGTAATGTCATGGCAAAAAATGTAAAGAAAAAAGACGACTATTTGTAAAAGGCAGATGAAGTAATTTCAATGTCACATTATAATCAAGGATTGTTATCATTTAATGTGGCTTAAAAGACATAATTGTCTAGTAAAGCGAATTTAACACTTATTTTGTAAATCTGTGCTCTTTTCAGCAAAGCCCCAAGGAGAACTTACCTTTTGCCAAACAATTTAATGGCTCAATGTTAAATACTACAAAAATACTACCTCTCTCCTCCTACTATATATCAAAACTTGGGCATGTCAAATGCCTTTCTGACCAAAGTTTTAAATTTAAGTCTACTTTCCCCTCAGATTTCCTAATAACAAAAGTCAAATCTCAATAACATATATCTTAGAAAATTTTAAGTAAAACTTATCAGTGTCACAAGAAATTAAGAATCACCACAGAGCTGACTTGGTACCTTTTTCCCCCACAGCCCACCGAGAAGACAAATCTATATCTTTAATATCAATCTAGAACAGAATTATACATTACTCTTCCAGTTCAGTTTCAGAATTTATGAAATGTTTACTATTAGCCACAACCACTATTTTTTACTTTATATAAACTAAAAAGGAAGCAACTTTTTTAAAAAGTAGAAATTCTATTTATGTAAATCCAGGCACTGATAAGAATTGACTAGTTCTAATTTACTATTTGTGAGTATTATCTGGAAAAAAGAAACCTAAGTTATATAAATTTTATTTATTTATTTATTAAAAAAAACTTTAACAATTATTTTAAAATTAAGAGTGGATCAATGTGAAATTTAAAAAAAAATTGTCATTTAACTATAATTGTAAACTAGAAATAGCTTTATACTTACCAAGTTGCTCGAATTTCTACGTTAAGTTTAGCTCTTTGTAATCTTTAGCTGCTATTCAGGCTACCAATTTTAGACTTATGCACTCACAAATCGAGAATATGTCATCAGAAAGCACCACTACACTTCACATTGTGCATTTAACCCCTCTGTGCCCAAAGTCCCTTGTACAATACACCGCAAAGCAAACAGGAAGGTACCACCACAGTAGATGGTCCAGTCTCCTGTTGCAACAAGGGTAAGAGACACATTGAGGGGGCCCTGCATTAAAGGAAGCTATAGTGTGCTACAACAGTGCAACAAAGAGGGTCAGGATAACAACCTGTTGGTAGCCATGAAATAGGATGTCTGTGCCAAATCCTTGCTTGCTGTAAGAAAAGAAAAAAAGAAAAGACAATACTATCAGCTTTAACATGCTACCATGAAAAAGTTCTCAACACAACAAAACTTCAAAGATTTGTACACAAAAAGTAAATTTTACTTACTACTTACAAATATCACAAGAGCGCCATCATTTTCTATACTACTGAAAATCTTCAACAACATTCACTCAAATGTTTCTTGCTATCCCCCAAAGATCTGAGAAACAAGCCGATTTGCTTTTAGCTAGCCAGTTACAAGGGCTAAACTTGTTACTAAGTTAAGCATCTAGTCAGCTAAAAGTTGAAATAAAGCATTCTCCTGGATTTAAAAAAAAAAAAAGAAGAAGAAGAAGAAGAAAAGATTTTTGAAGTCTAATACAAAATACAAAGAGTTGCCTGCCAGACTTAATCCTCAGTCATCACATTTAAGTTGGCCTTAATACTTCCATCAAAACAAAACAGAACAAAACAAGCCCCCACCCCCCAAACTCAAAAGCATAAACTGCTCAGTTTTTTAACATGCTAGTAAGCATCAACAAAATAAACAACCTAGAAACATCATAAGGATGTAGATACAGGAAGCGCCACTGTACTTTTTTTTAATTATAAAATGCAATTAGAGGTAACACTTAGAAAAGATCTTGAGAACTCTGGGAGGAATCAGGATGCTTCACACTGGTTCCCAACAGAAAAACAATTGTTAACTAGCTTTTTAAGACACTGAAAACAGTTTACCCTCCCCTTCTGCCTGGTATTCTTCACAGCAGGAAGGCCCTTGGTACAGTTTCCCTATTTTCCCCAATTACATTCATAATCACTGCTTATCTAGGATCAGTTCACCTGAACTCCACCCCTCTCTAACAGGCCTCAAATTCCTCCCCCCCTCCTATTTTTTATTCATGGCACCTGTAATCCCTGCTGCCCCATGTGGTTCATCAACATAAGGGTTTTACAAAAGGGATTTGGGTTTGGCAGAGTTGTGCTAAGGAAGAGTGTCAAAGCATCAGATGTCTTGTAGGCAGTGTGACTTAAGTATGTCATTCTTTCCTGGTGGGGAGGGAAGGAGAAATCACAGAAGTGAAAGGTCCCTGTAAAATGACAATAGCCAATTTTGTAGCAAAGTAGTATAATATCAACTCTCTCATCTCCAGCAGGGAGAAAAAGGAGTTTACAGAATAAAATTTATCTACCCCTCCCCGCAAAAGAATCAAAACATACAGAAAAGGAAAAATAATTTTAAACTGCCATAGCAGTTTTCACCTAGAAATGTATGTAAATTAAATAATCTATAAACAGTCACTATGCAACAAAGAAGAATGAAGGGGAAATGTTCTTGTTAGCTGAAAGTTGTAAGAGTGAAGAAAGACACCAAACGTGAAAAAACAAAATTTTTTTTTTTTTTTTAAATGGAGCAAGACTAGGTTAGTCAGACAAAATGAAGCTGAACATATATGGATGGTTTGTACTCAAATTTAGGGATGACACATTTTAAACATTAACAAGAAAAATGAGATTTAAATGTTTTGTTTTAGGTGTTATATCAAATTTGTAGTTTTTGAGAAAATTTAAAACCCAGTTTTATTTTCTGAGTTACTATTATACATAAGTAATTTTTTAAAACTTACTATAATATATTCCTTTAACTAATATCTTTAAGCTAGCTTCATTAGGCTCTTAGGGCAGGTTTTATGGTTCTCTATCATTCTCATAAAGCTTAAGTTTTCAAGAAAACAAAACTAAGCTTTTTTTTTTTCTTAATTCAACATCAACAACTAGTTATCTATCTATACTACAATTAGTACAGACTTTTCTGTACTGGGGATGAAAATATACTATAAAATGTATTTGTATAATTATGAAAAATAGGAACCTAATTATATTCTAGTTTACAAAGTGATATAGTAATAACATATGCTATTAGGTTAAAAAAATATGAGACTTTTATACGTCTACTTCCATAAGGACATAATCAGGTTACAGGTATGTTTTTCTTTTTAATGCATCCATTAACATAATGAAATGTTATCTAGGCATAAAACAAATTCAATTTAGAATGAATACAATGTAAGACTATTTAGGTAAACTCTAAAAACAAGGCCATCAAAAAAATCTGACCCATCCTACTTAGAATAAGCCTAAAAAATAAAAAAGGCTGTGGGTCAAAGAATGAAATAGCAAAGCTTCTTTTTCAAAAAAAAAAAAGAGGAGGAAAAAGCACACTAAAGGTCCCAGCTGGTTGCTGTGAGTATATAACACTTCAAACGGGAAACAGGAAAGAAGAGGCACCACAACATGCAACCGTGTAAAAAAGTATTTCTAAGACTACAGAAACGTATATATATAGGATTTATTAATAGGAGTAGAAAAATGTTATACCACATGCTTTACTCAGAGTAAAGCAAATACTATAAAAACTTCATATTCCCATTTATAAAAGGTCTAACAAGCATATCACAAACTGTATTTACACATCATGCTTCATAATGATTTCCCCATTATATACAAAGAAAAAAACACTTTTAGAAATGCTAAAAAACTTCAACAAATGGACTAAATCAATTTTGTTTAAATAATTATGGGCAAAACCCTTCCAAAAATGACAAATAATAAATCTGCTAACAAAGACGGATTTTATCAGCAAGACTTGAGATTGGTCTCATAATTCTTAAACGTTTTATCACTTTTCAAGAAGTCAATGAAAATTTGAAATAAATCAGACATTAATACTACTTTTTGCACCCATGTACTAATAGTATACATCTCAAATATTAACTGAAATGGCACTGGCAGAACCCAAAGGGGGAGAGAATTACTGATATTTGGAAGTCCTCCAATTTTTTTTAGCGAACTGAAATTTATTTAAGTTTAAAGGAAGCTAACACACTATGTAGAACCATGAAAGTAAGTAAATAGGTAGATGTAGAATGTTAAAAAAATAATGCTTCAAAATGACTTTTACCCCATTTTAATAAAACACAGCAGAAGGCTAGAAGAACAAATTAGCATACAAACCAATTTTAGATGATAAAAAGCATTAATACTTATCTTAAAAATTTCAAAGATCACTTACCTCTTACTAACTGGGTACATTTCACCACATCTGTGTGTGGGTGTTCAATGGTGATCTCAAAACCTGAAATGATAAGCACTTTTTTTCCCAACCACTTATACCACTGCCAATACTTGCCTGAGAAATGTCATTCATTACAACTACAAATGTATAATACATTCGTCCATGTTAAAAAAATCCAAACACTTAGAGTTTCTTATCACTGACATGCTTATTACAACTTCAAAAATGAGAAGTACTTAATTTCTTCTCAAATACAATGTCTCAAGACAGTTATTTCAGAATCAAGGATAATTATATTCAAAATTTTAAGTTATAATTAATTTGGGTTTACTATCAAGTTCGAAACAAAATCATGGCAAATGACAATGACTAAGATGGTAATTTAAGCAGGGAATTTAACAAAATATTGTCTTTGGGCGCCAGGTTCAGTGGCACATGCCTGTAATCCCAGAGACTGTGCGGGTAAGGCAGGAGGATCAAGTTTTTGACTAGTCTCAGCAATTTAGCAAGACCTTATCAAAATAAAAAATAAAAGGCTGGCAATATGGCTCAGTGGTTAAGCGCCCCTGGATTCAATCCCTAGTACCAAAGTACTATCTTTCTTAATATTCCAAATATTTGTTTCAAAAGATGTGAAAAAAACATTTCTCATTTATAAATGTCAATGTTGGGCAACAGTGGTAGAAAAGAACTTTTAAATGATACAGTCCTTAGTTTCTACTGTGGTACAGTGAAGGGTTTCAACTAGTTCACTTATAACTACACTAATAATCAAAATCACACAGCAAGCAAACTACGTAAGTCTCATAATTCTTGAAATCACAATTTAAAGAATTAAAACTAAAGATAAAATGTTGAAAGCTTCCAATGTTCAATCCTTATGTAGGGTAGTGTTTTTACTTTTATAAAAAGGGTAGGTCACATTTAGTATATTCAAAACTCTTTAAGTGAATAAAAGTATAACAAATGGACAATCTTAATTATTTTAAAGTTGTTTTTAGGTTTTTATTTATATATCTACTATAATTAAAGTATGCATAATAATACCCTACTCCCTTAAAATAATGCTATTCATTCTGTATACTTAAGAATTTGTCACTGGGGCTGGGACTAGGGCTCAGCAGTAGAGCGCTCGCCTAGCATGTGTGAGGCGCTGGGCTCAACCCTCAGCACCACATAAAAATAAATAAAACAAAGATATTGTGTCCAACTACAACTAAAAAAATATTGAAAGAAAGAATTAAAAAAAAAAAAGAATGTCATAAGGAATACATGTTACACAATGACTTTAAAATTTTTTTTTATGGTGCTGGGGATATAACACATGTTTTGTGTATGCTGGGTGAATGCTCTACCACTGGGCTACACATTTAGACCCTATACAATGCCATTGTATATTAAAGTAACTTTACAGTAGTCTACAATACTTTTTAATTTTAAATTTTATTACAAGTATTTATAATTACCCATAAGTTTATGTAAATTTGTATAACAACATGATAAAAAGCCATTATATCTGCAGGGAATAACACTTGTGTATCTTTTGATAAAAAATATGAGTTACATGCATCTCAAACAAGTTCATTTTATAATAAAGAGACTCTGCTATAAGTAGCTGTAACTTGTATTTCTATTCAACGGCTGGGAATAAAGTAATAAATAAAATGAAAAATGACAAATTTGTAATGTAACACACGTTCATAGAATGAAGGTGTAACAGAAAGGAGCTTTGCCCGTGTTTACAAAGAAAGTCAGATGACTAGAGATTTAAACTTAGATCCCTATTAAGTCCATAATTACCCTACCACATGCTGCTAAGTTCTTCCATAAGGAATTCATGATTTTTTTTTTTTTTGGGGGGGTGACTTTTTAAAATTTTTTTTTATGTTTTAATTAGTTATACACGACAGTAGAGTGCACTTATATACTTTGATATATCATATATAGATGGAATATAATTTCTTGTTTTTCTGAGTGTACACATTGTAGAATCACACTGGTTATACAGTCACATACATACATACAATAATTCTACTATCTTTCTTATCCTCATATCCCCTGCCTTCCTATCAATTTTAAATAAGTCACAACCTTTTTAGGACTCAATTTTATTTAGTCCTAAATAGTCTGCTATAAAGTTAAAAAAAAAACTAGAGCAAATAAACCTTAAACAAAGATTTAACTTTTTAAAAAGGATGATCACTTAATTACTATATCACATTAAAAATGATGTGATGTAGTCATTACATGCTGACTATGAGCACTGGGAGAGTTAGGATTGCCATGTATATTTGTATACATCACCATTATATGCAACAATCCTAGAGGACTCTCCAGGGCAAATCCACAGTGAAGCATTTTGCTTCACCTATCTGAAAACCCAAGAAATCATTATAGTTGCCTATGTTTACCATTCAATTAAATTATGTCAAATGAAATTAAATTTTAGAAAAATCTATTGGGGAATACTTTTGTGTGGTACTAGGGACTGACCCTAGGGCCTTGTACATGCCAGGCAAGCACTCCACTCCTAAGCTATACCTCTAGTACTTTGAACACTTCTGAGATAGGGTCTTGCTACATTGCCCAGGCTGGCCTTAAATTTGCAATCCTCTTGCCTTACACTCCTGTCCTGGGACTATAGGTCTCTCCCGTAGCTGGGAAGACAGTTGTGTGCCACCACACCAAGCTGGGCAATACTACTATATTTTAAAATAACTTTCTTCAATAAAATTATTCTAGGAATCTTTAATTTAAAATATTGCACTGAAGAACACAAAATAATTGACATTAATACATACCTAGTGTTTGTAGCATTATGGTTTCAAGTAAAACCAGTTCTTGAGTCTGCTGAAGGTAAGCCTGGCAGATAAAAATAATATTAAAATACTTAAGATTAAACAACACTACTAAACTACTTAATACTTTACATCTCAAGAGAATTATAGATCAATTACAAAAGAACTAATGGAGTTTGCAATGTGGAAAAAATAAACTGAGAGTAATGGAGAACACTCATTTTTTTGTGACAAGCCTAAACGGAATCACTTTCCAGTTTACAAAGTGTACAAAGAAAAAACAAAAACAAACAGAAAAATCCTTAATGATAATACAGGTTAACTGAGAAAAGATCTATACAGTGCATATAGTTAAAACTTTTACTGAGGCATTTCTGCCTCAAGACACATTTACAACAGAAGCACCAAGCTAAATAATAACATCAAACTCAAACCAGTATTTAAAGAAATGTTAGCACTCTTTAGGAAAGACAATCAAAACAAAACCTCAACTCTTTAGATTAAAAGAAGAGTTCAGATATAAAATATGAAAACAATGTATCATACACCCATGGAGACATAAATGTCAGAGAACCTTCTCCCTAAATTTCAAGAAAGTATTCTCCATTGTAATACTATAAGAATATAAGAACTTTCTGCCACATTATTCTTAGATCATGACTACTAACCTGGGTGATAAAGAAGTACACTTAATTTTATTTATGCTCCATTCTCAAAGGTCATTTGAGTTAAGTTTTAAAACACGGTTTTCTAGTATTTGAGCAATACTATCAAGCATTCATTAGAAATAATTCTGAGTTTGTACTATCTTTGAATAATCAAAAATTCCTTACTATTTATTTAGTAGGTACATTTTTTCCATTAAATCCAACATTTGTTATAAAGTTTATTATTAATAAATCAGATATACTTCTATCAGAGCTTTATCTAGACTTGAAACTTGACCTAAATTAAACAAAATTAATGTAATTCTTTAGTCATTTGGTGAGGAAAGGTTTCTTATTAAATAACTCATATATAATAAAAAAAGTTAGAAAAAAGGCCTACAATTCTAGTTCCCACTTTATTAGAAGAAACAGCTCTCTCTCTCTTTGGTACTAGGGAATTGAACTCAGGGGCATTCAACCACTGAGCAACATTCCCAGCCCTCTTTAAAACATTCTGAGACTGGGTCTCACCAAGTTGCTGAAGATGGCTTTGAATTTATGATCTTCCTGCTTCAGTTTCCCAAGCTGCTGGGATTATAGGCATATGCCATCACACCTGGCGGGAACAACTCTTTAAAAAGACTAATTACTATTCTAGAGGTAAATCAAAGTTTTTCTATTTCTTCATCTGCTAATAACATAAAAGAGTTCTTTATCTTCTGGTCAAGGACATCTACAAATATTACTTATCCTCTTACATAATTCACAGGTTTGCTTTGAGGACAGACAACAGGTGAAACACTTGAAAGTAACTTTGAATCAAAGCTTTATATAATTCAGAATGACATCCAAATTCAGGAACATATCTGAAATGTTTCTGTCAGATGTGTTCCTGGTATTATGTTTCTCAGTGGTAATAAAAATAAGCAACATTTGGTATTCCACACTAACTGTATTAAGCCTAAAATATGAAAAAGTTTCAAACTTCTAAAGAAAAACTCTCCAAGCACTAAAAAAAAAAAAAAAAACAACAAAACATACATCACATTTTGTATCCAGCAGTGGCTCAAGAGGATGAAGACAAGCATGTGCTACTTTGATAACATGTTCAAGTTTTCGAGCTTGTTCTTCCACTTTTGCAGCCAAAAATAATGCAGTAGGTGATATTATCTGTAGAAAAGAGAAAAATTTGATGATTTAAAAACAAATCTTAGGAAATTTCTCTACTTTGTAAGGGGGAAGGTGTGCAAGGAAAGAATGCATTATTAATAGTATGAATTGTACACTGGTCTATGGAAAGATTGATGAAAAAGTTTTTTTTTTTTTTTTTTTAAATTTTTGGTGCTGAGAATTGAACCAAGTACCTTGCACATGCTATGCAGAAGCTCCACCACTGAGTTATATTCCCAGCTCCAATGTGAGAGCTTTAATCATGTTATTCATTAAACAGAACTAGCTGTCCACTGACATAATGTGTTTTACTTGGTTTTCAGACAGAAAAGCAAAAGGGATAAGAGAAAAGATTTATACTTCAGCTAAAGAGGGAAAGTTGAATATTAATTTATAAACTATGGAAGTAAAGGAATAGCAAAATGATGATGACATAATTAAAAAAAAAGATTAACAGCAGGTAAAATATATCTACTATACTCTCTCCTTTTTAGGCACAGAATCATCACTTTCTAGTGCTTGTTTAAGTCAAGCATTGACTTATTATATGATTAAGAGCCAAACTATCTTGTTTAAAAGGCAGAACAGGTACCCTAAGAAAAAATTCTGAACTCAGCCTGGCTACCTTTATTACTTCACTACAGCTAAAGCTAAAAAAAAAAACAGGGTATAAGCATGTAATATATACAGATTAGAAACTTTTGTAAAAGTGGAGATCCAGAAAGTACCAATTTTCTGTTTTTATAACTAAGGTCCTTGGGATATAAGCACAATAACAAAGCACTACAAAGACAATGACTAGAGAAACATAAATTTTGAAAAAAACATTTACCCAAAAAGTAAATTTAGCAATAAATCAAAAAACCAAGAAATTAGATATACTAACCCAGGAATTAGATATACTTTATGCTCGAAGTATGCTTTAAGATTACACACAAGAGAGGCTGGAGTTGTGGCTCAGTGGCAGAAAGAGCACTTGCCTAGCATATGTGAGACCCTGGGTCTTATTTTCAGCACTGCATATAAATAAATGAATAAAACAAATGTCCAATATCTAAAAAATAAAAATAATTTAAAAAAAGGTCACACAAGAGCCAGGCATGTGGTACATGCCTGTAATCCCAGCAACCTGGCAAGCTGAGACAGAAGGATTCCAAGTTTGAGGCCAGCCTCAGCAACTCTGCAAGACCCCGTGTCCAAAAAGAAAAAAGAAAAAGAATTGGGGATGTAGCTCAGTAGAAAAGTGCCTCTGTGTTAAAACCCCAGTACCTACATAAATAAATAAAATAAGATTATACAAAAGAAATTTCTCATGGAAAAGTAGTTTCTAAATGTTAAGATTTAGGTCTCTATTTTTCAAGAGATGAAAATCTGGGTCTCACTGTATCTTTGGGGAAGAGGGGGTTCATCAATCATCATACAGAAATACTGCCAGAGGGGAGGTGGAAAAAGAGAGGTATAAATCTTATCACATGATTTGGGTAATTAAGGAAGAGATCCTTGTCTTCTGAGGGCTTTTTAAAAAACATGACATGGAATTTAATCACTGGATTTTGGATTCAAAAGGGAGTTTCTCTAGTTTTGCAGATGAGTAAATAGAATAAAAATGCCTTCAAAAAGCTCTTTTTCTGCAGCATTAATCTTTAAAACAGACCTATAATATAGTAGCACTACTGGGAGGTGACATACATTTTTAGGAAATGGGGGCTTAGTGGAAGCTTAAGTCACTGGGAGGATTATGGGACCTTTCTCTTTCTCTTTGCTTTCTGTCATAAGGTGAGCAGTCTGCTTTGACCTGATGTGTGGCCATCAAAGCAATGAGGCCATTTGATATTGGAATAGAGCCTCCAGAAATATGAACTGAAATAAACCCTTTCTCCTTATAAGTTAACTGCCACAGAGATTTCACTATAGTGACAGAAAGCTGGTTAGTAACTACTCCCAATAATCAGAAATAATGGTTTCTCAAATGGGCTTAATAATTTCAACATTGACTTTCAAATTATTTCCTCTTTTTAAAATTAAAACTTTAACATGAAAAATATTGGAAATATTGAGAATGCTTAAAAGATTTAACAGCCTAGAAGCAGCTTAAACACAGACTGAGTTATTCATTGTGTTCCCATTATCTAGTATTGTATGACTGCAGTTCAATGTTTGCTGAATGCATGAGATGTATGAAAGGCACCAATATAAAATATCCCAAATGCCATAATAAAAATCTAAGAGCCAATGGCCACAAAAGAAATTCAAAAAACAATAAAACGAAGAAACTCTGTTTCCCGCAATCTCTCACTCATTCATATCTAAAATAATAGCAATCCAACCTTCAACATGCTAAAACTCTGTATCAAAAGCGAAGCAATAGAGGCCCAAGTCAAAAGTCAAATTAGAGTGAATTATTTAATACTTAACATTTCCTGAACTACGAGATGATCCAGAATTTCTCTTATTTTCCAAAAAGATACTTAACAAAAGTTTCCAATGAACTTTTCTTCATAACTCCCACATAATTCCTAAACACAGCTCCATCCCCTGCATACATTTTGTGGCAGTGCTATTATAAGCCTCAATATCAACAAAATTTTCAAACTACACATTTTCCTTCAAAGATAGTCTCAAAAGAAACAAAGAATGCATACTAATGATTCTAAAGTTCTATACATAATTTTAAAATTTAAGTATCTAGGGAGCCAAGCAATGATCTTCAGGAAAGACTTCATAGAAGTCTGTTCCCTTTACATAGGGCTCAAATCTCTCATCCTCCTCCAGTGCAACACTAATACCCAACACTCTTCCAAAGTTCCTGGTGAAATCCACTAACTCCATTCACATTTCCTCCTCTACAGCCTGCAAATATTTTACTCCATCAGGGCTGTAAAAACAAAACAAAACAAAATACAACACCTTTTCAGACAGACACTTAGGTGAATGAATATCCATGTGAGGCTTTAATTTTAAGGATGATCAAAGACGGTGATCAAACTAGATATTACTACTGCCTTTTGTATAGAAGGCTGACTTTGTTGTGTGACTTAAAAGAATTCCAAAAGTTTGGGTAACAGAAATATTACTAGTTGGTCTGTGGTTTTTAAAGGTGAGCATTTTTGAAGGCAACATTGACTGGCACTTGTGAATCTGGTTTAAAGCCAAAGAATTCACACCAGCAATACTGGAGTATATATGTTTAGTTGGTTTGCACAATCAAACAATTATAAAGTTGAGATCCAGTTTACTGGGGACAGGGATCATTTTATGTCCATTTTATGTTTCGATACCTAGCTGATTTAACATAAGATCAGTAATAAAAATTTTGTGAACATTTAAAAAAAAGCCGATTTTTAAAGCATTTGTCACTCTAGCAGATGTACAAATATTGCAAGGGAATGTTACAGTTTCAAAGCAAAGACAAATTTCTACCTAAATATACACACAATTATTGAGGGGTAAAATGGAAGTGATAAAGCCAAGACTGTCTGAGTGGAATCTTGGCTCTATTATCTGACAAATCTATTCTTATTCTCTTTGTGGCTCAGTTTCTGCATGTGTAGAACAGGAGAAATAATACCCACTTATCAAGATTATAATGAGGATTAAATAAACCAACACATGCAAAGCAGAACAGTGCCCCCACAGGAATATAACTCAAATATTATTACTACTATGTTGAAAAATTAAACAATTGTTAGTGTTGACCTTAAAAAATGATTTAAAAAGCGAACTTTTTAAATTCCCTTTTTCTTGCTCACTTCCTTCCACAGTTAATTAAACTCAATTCTTCTAAGATTCTGCTGTAGATCTAACTAAGCACATTCAAATACGGAAATTATGATACTTGAGATTCTTATTATGATTTATCCCCGTATTCCTTTCTCCCCTTCTCCTTTTCTATTCTTTTATGTTTCCATTCCTACCTCTTGATCTGACTCTCTTCCTTCTACATCTTTCCTCCTCCTGCTCATTCCTGTCTGCTGTCTCCCCTCTCTGCCATGATGCCCTCACTGATGACATTCTTCAGTCTCCAATGCTGGTTTCAACCTTGATAACTAGACGCAAAGTCAGGTTGCATTAACCAAAAAAAAAAAAAAAAAAAAAAAAAGCCTGGGTAATTGCTAAGTCACCAAAAATGGTTGTCATCAGTCAGTTCTATGAAACATTTGGCCTTTAGCCTTGTAATAGTCTTGGTGAATAATTTGGTGTGTATTTGCACATAAGAACTCGCCATGCCTGTTCTATCACCCTTTGCCCTTAAATCTGTTAGTTGAGAAAAGCCTCAAGGCACAAAAAAAAAAGGCTTCCAAGTTTGCTAATACAAACAAGCTCATTCTAATCTGTTCCTGTGATTTATCTGTAGGTCTTACACACTAGTGAAGTCATTCTTTCCCTCTCCCTGAACTTTCCCAAATATATTTCCACCCCACCCCTAAGACTTGATAATTATTTTCAGTACCTTCTAAAGGGACTCCATTAATAAATTCTTAGCTAGCTTTAATTGCCACAGCTCAAAATTGAAAATTACTTGCCTAGGTTACAGTTTAGGAAAAGTGGTAGTGGTATAACATTAGTAAAGGATCACAGAAAGATCAACTTGATATGAAGGAAGACTAGGGAGGAAAGCCCATACAAAAAAGAATAAGTCAAGGGCTGGGGATGTGGCTCAAGTGGTACTGCGCTCCCCTGGCATGCGTGCGGCCCGGGTTCGATCCTCAGCACCACATACAAACAAAGATATTGTGTCCACCGAAAACTAAAAAATAAATAAATATTAAAATTCTCTCTCTAAAACAAAACAAACAAAAAAAGAATAAATCAAAATGCCCATTTGTTAATAAGCATGATCACCAAACTTAAAATAACTAAAACAAAATTCTAGTACAAAAAAAGTGGTCTACACCTTTAATTTTGCTGCACTGACAGCAAGTGTCATTACTCAGGCTGACATTTTAGTTGTTTTCTCATTCATACTGAGAAAACTTAAAGAGTTTAAAGTACAACAATTT